TGCTTCCACTGAAACAAAAAAGGAAACATATTTAGTCCAGTGGCACAGCTTAGCTATGTTCCAGACATCCTTCAGTCATCACCATGGTGATGGAGTTGCCTAGAGAAATTAAGGTGGATTATTAAGGTAAGAAGTTATGTAATATGTTTAGGAAAGAATCCCATTAAAATAGATTTTCATTTAAAACATTTTAACATTTAAGTGGATAATTAATTTTTATTCATCTAGAAATCTCTTCTTTGGGTACTTCATGCCTAAATTTGCAACCAGCTAAGGTGCTTGTATTTATTACCTAACCTCAGTAGAAGTTCTCTGTGTATTAATAGAATGAGTGGTCTCCAACACTGAAGTATTCCCGGGGCAGTGTAGGCATCTTGGGATGTGCATATTTGGGGCTGTCTCTCTCTACCTGAAGTTTGACAACTTCCTCTAGCTCAGTCTCTTCTATTGCTGGCTTTTCTTCTTGGAATCCATCCAGCCCCAGGGGTCTTTTTTTCCAAAAATTCTGATGGTATTGTTTTTTCTGCCACCTCTGAAAAAAAAAAGCTGGAAAAAAAAAAAAGATAGATAATCTTATATTTTAATTATACTTTATATTACTTTGTCCTTTATTAGAGCACTTGTTAATGTGAACTTTAAAACACGGACATACAGAGAATGGGGCTAAAGCAGCCAGAGCGCCTAGGAGAATCTGGAGGCAAGAATTTTTAGCCCATACAGATCCATCATCTGGCAAATAGTGAATTGCCTTTTTGCAGCTCTGGTCAGGATGTAATACTCACAACCTCAATTTGTCTGCAGGCTCTGTGAGCCAGAATGGCCTTCACGCAGTGTGGAAGATCACAAGTGAAGCCATTGATGAGCTGCATCGATCTCTTGAGTCTTGTCCTGGGGAGACCGCCATGGCAGAGGATCCAGCTGGGCTGAAGGTGATCTGGGAAGGCCCGCAGGGCAGAGTGTCCTGGACAGTGCCCTAGCGCCCACGAGGAGGGGACCGACCATTGGGAAAGGCCCTGCCAGAGTGCCATTCTTCGTTGTTTTTCTTTAAATAGTCCTGTTTGGTTTCTTTTTTAATTTACTATTTTAAGATTTTATTTATGTGTTTAGTCTTGGTTGCTCTGGGTCTTTGCTGCTGCACAGGAGCTCTCCCTAGTTGCATGTGGCGAGGGTGGCTGCTCTTCCCTCAGGTGCATGGGCATCTCCTTGAGGTGGCTTCTTTTGCTGTGGAGCCGGGGCTCCCAGGCGCGGGCTTCAGTAGTTGAGGTACTGGGCTTAGTTGCTCCACGGCATGTGGAATCTTCTGGACGAGAGACTGAACCTGTGTCCCCTGCAGTGGCAAGTGAGTTCTTATCCACTCTGTCACCAGGGAAGTCCCAGAGAGCCATTCTGACATACCGTTTCTGCAAATCACACTCAGGTGGTTTCCCTTACGGTGTTGTCTTTTTTTCTATTTAGCAGTGAAAATAAAAAACACTTTTTTTCCCTTAACGTCACTAAGTTATATGTCTGTAGCAGTAACAGATGGATTTATCATTTATTGAGCTTCAATAGGTGCCACAGGGATGCAGAGGAATTGCTGCTTTTAATGAACTAGTTGGAGTTAAAATGCATGAACAATCAATGTAAGATTATTAGACAATCATTGTAAGACAGAAAATGTGCATTGTCACATACTTTGAAGTGTATGCAAAGTACAAAGGCATTTGAAATAAAGGACAAGTTTTTCTAGGTCAGCAGTATTATTTGTGCCTTAAAGAAACTGCAAGCCTTTAGATAGGGTAGAAACCAAACTTAGGGAGTGGTGGTCGGAAGGAAGATCAGATATTGATATTAATGAATGATGATCAGGTGATGGCAGCACCTGAGCTGGGAGCAGCAGGTGGTGTAACTTAGCACAAAGAGTCTCTAGCTATGGAGCCTAGCACTGGTGGAGGAATTTAGACTAGGATAGCATAAGAGAGGGCTTCCCTAGTAGCTCAGCTGGTAAAGAATTCACCTGCAATGCTGGAGACCCCAGTTTGATTCCTGGGTCAGAAAATTCCTATGAAGAAGGAATAGGCTAACCACTCCAATATTCTTGGGCTTCCTTGGTGGCTAAGATGGTAAAGAATCTGCCTGCAATGTGGGAGACCTGGTTCGATCTCTGGATTGGGAAGATTCCCCTGGAGGAGGGCATGGCAACCCACTCCAGTATTCTTGCCTGGAGAATCCCCAGGCACAGAGGAGCTTGGCGGGCTACAGTCCATGGGGTCACAAAGAGTTGGACATGACTAAGCATAGCACAGCTTAAGAGATATTATGGAGTCACTGTAGAAATTTGAGCAGGGAAGTTTTAAGAAGGTTATTTATGTCACAGAATTCCAGATAAACTGGAGGAAGGGAAGACTAGCAGGGAGGCCCCCAGTTAAAGGGCCATCAATTTATGACTAGCACTGCAGACAGACATTGCCCACAGAGAGGAGAGTCACATTAAAAAGATAACGAGGAATAGCCAGCCGAACGGCTGGTAGAAGTAGAGTGATTCCTCAGAGATCTTGACTTGTACTGATTAAGCAGACAAAGCAGCAGTCACTTGGGGAGTGACAGAGGCAGCCCTTGATAGACAGGCTGGGCAGTCGGCATGAATGATAACTGTCCTGGGCAGGCCAGGACATGTGACCCTCAGTGAGAGAGTGGAGTCCAGGACTTGAAGGTGAAATGAGCGGCTTATCTGACAGCTAGAGTATTGGGAGGGTCACTTACAGAAAATAAACGAGTGGAGGAGGGAGTCCATGTGGCCAGGCTCCAGCATAGCCTCTCATCAGGAATCGGTACCTAACTTCCGGTTATTACCTTCATCAGGTCTCTTTGCTGCCGCACCAGAAGCAGGCATTAGCCTGGCTGCTATGGCGGGAAAGCCAGAAGCCACGAGGAGGAATTTTGGGTGAGTCTCAAGTTAGGATAAGAGCCCACAAATACATTGCTTTGTTTGGTCCTCTCAACAGATCTTGTGGGTAGCTACTCTAACACCCTGTTTGACAGATTAGGAAACTAGTGTGGGAAACTTAAGCCACGTGCTCTGGAGTACACAGTTGTAGGATCAGTCAGGAAGCTTAAACTGCACACTCTGGAGTACACAGTCATAGGATAAGTCAGGAAGCTTAAGCTGCATGCTCCAGAGTACACAGCCGTAGAATCAGTCAGGAAGCTTTAAGCCATGCACTCCAAAGTTCATAGCCATAAGATCAGTCAGGAAGCTTAAGCCACGTGCTCCGGAGTACACAGCCGTAGGATCAGTCAGGAAGCTTTAAGCTGCATGCTCCAGAGTACACAGCCATAGAGTCAGTCAGGAAGCTTTACGCCATGAGCTCCAAAGTTCACAGCCATAGGATCAGTCAGGAAGCTTAAGCTGCACGCTCTGGAGTACACAGCCATAGGATCATTCAGGAAGCTTAAGCCGCACCCTCCAGAGTACACAGCCATAGCGTCAGTCAGGCAGCTTAAGCTGTGCACTCCGGAGTACGCAGCCATAACATCAATCAGGAAGTTTAAGTTACGTGCTCCAGAGTACACAGCCATAGGATCAGTCAGGTCTTGGCTGCAGGCAATAGAGACTGACCCTGGCTGATGAAGCAGAGGGAAGGTTTATTCTCTGGTGGCCCACAGAATCTTTGAAAGATGTGGAGGGCCAAGTTGGAGGCCAGACTTCCAGGAGCAATGGCCAGAGTCAAGTTACCAATGGAATGTCCTGTGAGAACGATACGGCTGCTCCATGCCACGGAGCAGTAGAGGAAAGCACCGCTCCCCAGAGCCACACACTGCTGTTTCCACCCCTTCTGTTGAGAGGACTTCACAGGAAACCTCATCTTCTGAAGTTGCTCACATCTGAAACAAAGTCTGCTGTGAGTGTAAGTCTCTGTAGGGCCTGGTCATGCTGCTGGTGCCTTAGCTACAGAGGAGGCAGGAAGCGAGTTTTCCAGGCTCTGCTTTGGGACCTCATCACACTAAAAGTTTCCAAGGTGTTCAACTTCTAGAAAACGTGACACAGGTCCACTATGGCTAGTGGAGTGGCTGTGTCTTGATCCCCAAGATCACCTCCTGGTTGGATGGTTTGCTAGAACGCACAGCATATAGTCATATATTGCTATTCAGTTGCTAGGTCGTGTCCGACTCTCTGTGACCCCATGGACTGCAGCTCTCCAGGCTTCCCTGTTCCTCACCATCTCCCAGAGTTTGCTCAAACTCACGTCCTTTGAGTTGATGGTGCCATCCAACCATCTCATCCTCTGTCGCCCCCTTCTTCTCCCACCATCAGTCTTCCCCAGCATCATATTCATGGGTGTAATAAATTACACTTTCAAATAAAGTGAATAATAATTGAGTTATTTTGATTTGATATAAATCAAAATCAGCAAGGGAAAAAGGCACACAGGGCACAGTCTAGGGGCAACCGGGTCCATGTCCTGTCTGAGCGGAGTCACTCAGTATCTACTTAATCTCCCAGCAGCAAGCTGCGAAAACACAGGTAAAACGTTGCCAGCCACGGAGCTTGTTAGAGACTTGGCACCCAGGATTTTTACTGCAGGATAAAAACCCACATAGGCAGCTTCAGGCTGGCAGGTACTGAAATTCGAGATTCCCAGAGGGAAAGCAGGCATTCGGTATAAACTGTTCTGTGGGTCCCAGCAGTTAAGGTGTGGTGAGCCACTCTTCCCAGTCTGGGGAGGGGGGGACCCCTCCTGAAATGAGTGTCCACGTGCTAGCTGAGAGCCAGCCTTGTAAGCTGGCCTTTCAGAGGAGAGTAGTCAGCTGCTGTGGTAACTCTTCTGCACAGTGGCAGAGCCAGAACTTGAACCAGAGCCCATGCTGTGACATTTTACTTCTGCTTATGTCAGAATGCATATTTAAACCGTTAAAAAGAAGATAATACCATTTTATAGGTGTAAATAGTAAATTGGATAAGCTCAGTAACTAGCACGATGATAGTACCCAAGAAATGCTAATTTATGACCTTCGCTGATGAATAAGTTAAGGGGATGGAGAGGACTGTCTTAACTCTAACTCCAGAATTGCAGTAGTGAAGTGGGTAGTAGGATATATCTACTGGGACCTTTTTGCTTTTGCAGGGTAATAAATAAGAAGACTAGGCAACATTTGGAACTTTCCTGGTGGCTCAGATGGTAAAGAATCTGCTGGCAGTGTAGGAGACCTGAGTTTGATCCCGGGGTCAGGAAGATCCCCTGGAGAAGGGAATGACAACCCGTTCCAGTATTCTTGCCTGGAGAATTCTATGGACAGCGGAGCCTGCTGGGCTACAGTCAATGGGGTCGCAAAGAGTCCAACACAACTGAGACTAACACACACAGGCAACATCATCAAACTGAGAGAGCAACGAGTGTTGGATAAGTAACAATAAAACACAGAGACGCAAATAAGATCTAAATAATAAGTTCTAAATTTTATAGAGGTCATGATAAATGTCTGTGACCTAGATTGCAAAATAAATGGCAAGCGTTAGTGTTCATTTTAATAAGACAAAGGCTTCATTAGAGGAGGCAAAGCATAGTGACTGGAGTGGTGCAGCATAGGGACCAGGCTGATATCTACCCCGGACTGCATCTCTTGAAGTTGAACTGATTTCTTGCCCAAAGTAATTACCTCTCCTATTTTTTTTGTTCATTTTCCAGCTGATGATATGGGGTTAGGAAAAACCCTGACAATGATTGCACTCATCCTGACCCAAAAGAATCAAAAGAAAAGCGAAGAAAAGGACGAAACCATGGCTTTGACTTGGCTTTCCAAAAATGGTATTCCGAAGTGTCTTGCTAGTCTGCTCCTTCCTAAATGACGTGAGGCAGTGGAGAGTGGAAGTTTTCCAGCCATGAAAGGATGCCTTTGGTCATACTTAATTTTTGGGGAAACTGTTACTTTCCTATACTATCATTTCTGACACTGAATATGCTAACTAGAGGTGATCATTTTTTTCCTTTAAATATAAGGTTAGCTTGGCCTGTGATTAGAAGCAGTTGTATGGTGGCAGCTAAAAGTCTAAAAATCTTAGTTTAAACCTAATGATTGTTTTTGTTAATGTTGAGAACATAACTACAGGGTAGACCCAAATAGTTAAAATATTATTTTTTGAAGGAAGATCTATAACACATTCAGACTTCAGCCACCATAGTAGACAGTTTTCCATGTTTCTGAAATTCCAGAAATTTCCAGATTCTAGAGAGTTTCTCTTATTTCTATCTCTGTTTTTAAAATGTAAAAACTGTATAAGTACTTTAAAGGTCCTGTTTATTATATACAGATGACACTGCATGTAAACTGCACGTACACAAATAGATTTCTTGGTTGGCGAGACAGGCAAAGACTTTGACAACCGTCTGCTCTCAGGGCCTCCGTCGACCCCTGTTGCAGCTGGGTCCTCGTCCCTGTGTGGAGCAGCACCTGTGTGCCCGTGCACATGCACGGGCACAGGCACAAACACTCCACCACTGTCTGGTTCTGAAGTAGTGTTTGCTTATCCTAGAGGACTTGGTACTTATTCTTCAATATGAATGTGATTAAGGTATGCTTTTCAAAGGAAGGTAATAAATAATACTGCCCTCTGATGAACCAAGGAAGAGTTAGGAAATGGCCCAGCTTCTGTCTTCTCGCCACTGGGAAGGTGCATTGGGGTTCTTTGTTTTTAAACTGAAGTGATGTACTAGCCGCTCTCCTCCCTGTTTAGCCTCTCTTCCACTTTTATAGGGGAAAAGAAACAAATAATTGTTTTGAGTTAAAAGATTATTTTTTTCCCAGTTTCTATTCTACTTCATGAGTACCTCATTTTATCGCACTTCACAAATAGTGTTTTGTTTTGTTTTTACATGTTGAGGGTCTGTGTCAACCCTGTGTTTTTGGCACCATTGTTCCAACAGCATTTCCTCACTTCATGTCTCCATGTCACATTTTGGTAATTCTTGGAATATTTCAAACCCTCCATCAGTAAAAAGATTACAAATGATGTCACCACTGTCTAGCAATAAATATGTACTTTTAAACTATGTAACTTTTAAAAAAGCATTATACTATTGAACACTTAATAGACTAATGTAGTGTAAACATAATTTTCATATGCACTGGGAAACCAGAGTTTTGTGTGACTCTTTATTGTGATATTTATTTTATTGCTGTGGTCTGGATCCCAGCCTGCAGTATCTCCAAGGTATAAGCTATATGTAGAAATAAGAACAACAGTTGTTAAAAATATTGATTAAATGAATAGACATCGGTCAAGGAAAAGAGGTAATGCCTTGAAGAAGTTAAAGCTATTTAATGAGTGTAACTAGGTGTTGATTTTTTTCCCCCCTCTCAAGACTCCTCTGAGTTCACTTCTCGTGGAACACTAATCATCTGTCCTGCCTCTCTGATCCATCATTGGAAAAATGAGGTGGAGAAACATGTGAGCCACAACAGATTAAGAGTCTGTCTGTATCATGGGCCAAACCGGAATCAACATGCAAAAGTGTAAGTGCAGAAATGTTGCCGTCAGTATGAGGTGTTCAGCATCTTGGCTTAAGGGTCATGTTGACCTTATGTGCCCTCTGATATTTTATTTAATCAAGGCTAATGGTATTTGTGAAGGCCACAGGCACAATCATCACCAAACAGCCTTCACCTAAGGGATGCATCAGAGAGACTGGTGTTCTGTTGCTATATCCTGTTATCGTTCTCAACAAGCTGCCTTGCAAGTTAGCCTGAGATGCCTGAATTGTCAGCTAGGAAGTAGCAGAGTTCCCCTGGTAAAAGGGATATATCACAATTATTTCATGATTGAATATCTGATTCCAAATTCACATTCTTTTTCTGTTAGTGTAAATGGAACCAACTCAGTCTTAACAGAGCATCTTGATGTAATATTAATGATTAGTTGATATATGCTAGTTAAATGCTTATGGCTGTATTTTTCATATGTGAACCATCTAAGAAGTTTAGATTCAAAAGGTTAGGATTAAACCTAACAATTCCTAAAGGGGATGACCAGGAAGGAGGAAAGAAAATGTTTCCCCAGATGGTGATTGTAGTCCTATTCTTTGTCTTTTGGTTTTAAAGGACCTGTTTTTTGTTCTTAATTATGATATGATGGTCTGGAATGAATACTTGCTGATCTAGTCAAGAACTGAGTTGTTTTTCCTTCTAAGTAATCTCTCTCCCCAACCTCTGATACTGGATATTTTATCTCTTAAAGAACAACACAGTGCTCTCTTGGGGATGAATTGCCAGAATGGTGACCCTGAGTCTTAAGGGCACAGCTCTCATGACTAGTAGTCATTTCAGCAGACGAAAGGAATCAGGGCAGTAGTGGCCATCCTGCACGCCTTCTCTGGCATGGAGTAATATAGATATTTGTTTAGAAGTCAGTTCTATCTTATATGATTTGCATTTTGATTGTACTGGGTTTGTGTTCTGAGTGCACTAGCTGACTGATAGGACTCATTCTCAATCAGACACCCTTTTATGATGCTAAGGCAACAAGTAGGCATCACTGCCTCTCCAAATTCGCATGTCATCTTTATCAAAAGTATTTACTAAAGTTCTCTAAGGTACACAATATTAAGCTTCCTTGGAGAAAGATTTGTGCTTTTCATTAAGAATCTTTACATGTAAAAAGTATAGGCAAGGGGAGCTGAAAGTGTACAGCATGTATTTTTGTGCCCAAATGTCAGAGCTAGATGAATGGGTTTTCATGAATCCATTACAGAACAATGAGGAGAAAGCACTGTTAATATAAGATGAACAGTACTTCAGAGGTTTCTTACTTCCTTGGGACTTTAGAATCATTTGTGTCAAATTAACTAAATATTAGATCCCAATCCTGCCCAACTTTCTGTTCTTGTCAGATCTCATCAAGCTTAATTTGTCCTCAGCCAGAGATGATCCTTTGTGACTTGGCTGGGAAGAGGGGGGCTGTTCTAGTTACAGTAAGTAGTCTGTAAAAATGACCAGTGGTAAAGCAATAAGTAAGTCAAGTGTGTTAAATTTACCTCTTCAGGGTGTGTGTGTGTATGAATTGACACAAATTAATGAGTTCTGCTGGAGGTATTTTTGTGAAGGAATCAACTCTGTCTCACTTTGTCAGAGTCATGCTGAATGATTTACCATTTGCTTTGTGTTATATCTGCAGCCTCTCCACATATGACATCGTGATCACCACCTACAGCCTCCTGGCCAAGGAGATCCCCACAGCGAAACAAGACAAACAGATCCTGGGTGCAAACCCCAGTGTGGAGGTGAGGTGTGGACCCTGCTGGGGAAGTAGGGTCAGAACCACAGATTGTTTAACAGGAGTCTTTTCACAGCATCACAGATGGAAAGGTCCCCACTACTTGGGTCATTAGCATTCGTGCTGCTTCTCCTGTGGAAACAGAGTTCTTTCCCCTGTCCCTTCTCTTTTACTGTAGATGTCCTCCTCAGTACTGAAGGTGGAGATGCAGTTTGCTGTTTTTTAGAAATAATGACTACATTGCAGTTGTGCTGATCATGGTGTGAATATAGGGACGCTTCACTTGTTGCAGTGTTTGTTTGAGAGTCTTTGGGGTGTACTCTCAGGATGTGTTTTGTATTCAGTGTCAGGACTAGTATTTTGATATTAAGGCATTATTCCCTGCCTTTACTCCACCTCCCAGGAAAAGGGGTTGCAAAGAAATAGGCTACAGTGGGCCAGAGGCTTAAACAATAACCAGGGGAAAAAACCTGAATGTTGCTGTTTCCAGGCTAGTCTCAGTTATGTAGAGGCTTTATTGCATAACTCTTATGGGCTTTTCCCCCCTGAAAATACAGTGTTGTTACAAGACCTACTGTTTTGCATATACTTTTATTCTTAGTGCAATAGAATATTCACAACTTCCTGTGTTTGGGGTGATTTCTAGAGTGCTTGATTCGTGGACCTAATATTCCAGGTTCCTATGCAATATTGTTCTTTGCAGCATAGGACTTTACTTCCATCACCAGTCACATCCACAGCTGGGTGTTGTTTTTGCTTTGGCTCCGTCTCTTAGTTCTTTCTGAGTTATTTCTCCACTGTTCTCCAGTAGCATATTGGGCACCTACCGACCTGGGGAGTTCATCTTTGAGTGTCCTATCTTTTTGCCTTTTCATGCTGTTCTTGGGGTTCTCAAGGCAAGAATACTGAAGTGGTTTGCCATTCCCTTCTCCCTTCCCTTCTGACCACATTGAGTCAGAACTCTCCACCATGACCCGCCTATCTTGGGTGGCCCTACACAGCACGGCTCATGGCTACACGGCATGGCTCGTCTCACACAGGAAATGGCAAGAGTGAACATCGACATTTTAGGAATCAGTGACCTAAAATGGACTGGAATGGGTGAACTTAACTCAGATGACCACTATATCTACTACTGTGGGCAGGAATCCCTTAGAAGAACTGGAGTAGCCCTCATAGAGTTCCCTGGTGGCTCAGACAGTAAAGCATCTTGCTTACAATGTGGGGTTCAATCCCTGGGTCGGGAAGATCCTCTGGAGAAGGAAATGGCAACCCACTCCAGTACTCTTGCCTGGAAAATCCCATGGATGGAGGAGCATGGTAGGCTACAGTCCATGGGCTCACAAAGAGTTGGACACGACTGAGCGCTCATAGTCAACAGAAGAGTCCGAAATGCAGCACTTGGGTGCAGTCTCAGAAATGACAGAATGAGCTCTGTTTCCAAGGCAAATCATTCATATCACAATAATCTATTGTCTATGCCAAGTCTTGGCATACCAAGTCTATGCCACAACTGGTAATGCTGAAGAAGCTGAAGTTGAGCGGTTCTGTGGAGACCTACAAGACCTTCTAGAACTGACACCGAAAAAAGATGTCCTTTTCATTATAGGGGACTGGAATGCAAAACTAGGAAGTCAAGAGATATCTGGAGTAACAGGCAAATTTGGCCTTGGAGTACAGAATGAAGCAAGGCAAAGGCTAACAGAGTTTTGCCAAGAGAATGTACTGGTCATAGTAAGCACCCTCTTGCAATAACATGAGATGACTCTATATATGGACATCACCAGATGATCTATACCGAAATCAGATTGATTACATTCTTTGCAGCCAAAGATGGAGAAGCTCTATACAGTCAGTAAANTGCTTACTCCTTAGAAGAAAACCTCTGACCAACCTAGACAGCATATTAAAAAGCAGAGACGTTACTTTGCCAACAAAGGTCTGTCTTGTCAAAGTTATGGTTTTTCTAGTAATCATGTATGGATGTGAGAGTTGGACTATAAAGAAAGCTGAGCGCCGAAGAACTGATGCTTTTAAGCTGTGGTGTCGGAGAAGATTCTTGAGAGTCCCTTGGGCTGCAAGGAGATCCAACCAGTCCATCCTAAAGGAAATCAGTCCTGAATATTCATTGGAAGGGCTGATGTTGAAGCCGAAATTCCAGTACTTTGGCTACCTGATGTGAAGAACTGCCTCATTTGAAAAGACCCTGATGCTGAGAAAGATTGAAGGCAGGAGGAGAAGGGGATGGCAGAGGATGAGATGGTTGGATGGCATCACCGACTTGATGGACATGAATGAGTAAACTCTGGGAGTTGGTGATGGACAGGGAAGCCTGGTGTGCTGCAGTCCTTGGGGTCACAAAGAGTCGGACAGGACTGAGTGATTGAACTGACTAGAGTACTTGCCCATCTCATGACCAGCTCTGCCTTCTTGCAGATGATTAACTTTTCAGATTCCTCAATGGTTTCTCTTAGCTTTCAGGCTAAAACCCTCGTTCCTTTAAATGATTTTTCAGGCCTTGTACAGTCGCCCTTCCTGAGTGTCCCTTGCTCCCTACCCGCCCGCCTCCCTCCCAGGGGCACCCCATGCTCAGCTGTACCAAGGGCTGCACTTCCCTCCATACTCTGTCGTCGTGTTTAGCTGTTCTCCCTCTGAACGGAGTGCTTTGCTGCCCTCTGTGGTCAAGTGCATCTCATGGCACCTACTGCTGGCTTACACCTCGACAGTCCATTCATTCTGCAAATATTGAATATCTATCATGTACCAGATGCTATTTCAGGTATATAGCAGTGAGCAAGACCCACTAGCTTCCTACTGTTCTATATTAAATCATCTGGTAGGACTTGCTGTATATACATTGTATATAATGATCTTTATGCTTGTTTTATTTTTTCTCTCCTGCTAGATTGTGAGCTCCTTGAAGAGAGGAAATGATCTTTGTGTCTGGCTTAGTATCTTACATGTAAAAGGAGACTTTTAGGGAATTTTCCTGGTAACCCAGGGGTTAAAACTCCATGCTTCCACTGCAGGGGCATGGGTTTGATCTCTGATTGGGGAACTGAGATCACACATGCTGTGTGATGTGGCCAAAAAAGAAAATAAAGTCGGCTTTTAGTAAATTTTTAGTGAATTACTGTAAATTTAGGGAAAGTGAGTAAATTTTTTATTGATTGAATGACTTTGCAGCCTTGACAGCTAGTGTATCCCTTACCCGTGGCCATTGCTCAAAAGTGGGTTGAAAGAATACAGAAAACTAAAATTAGGAAACATTTTACCCTTAAACATCTTGTGCTCAACAATTGGGAAGTCAAGTGACTTGTTTGTTTGTACTCATTGAGTTTCTGCTCTTGGTTTCTTAAGCTTAATCCTTATTTCAGTGTACCTGATCTAGGCCCTCAAACTTGAAGATAAGAGTGAGTCTTTGAAATTTGCTTATTTCCCCTTATTGGCTGGAAGACACACATGTTTTCCTATATTTTTGCTAGATTTCACTTGTGTTTCTTCCAGGGTACGTCATCACCTTTGCTTCAAGTAGTGTGGGCTCGAATCATATTGGATGAAGCTCACAACGTTAAGAATCCCCGGGTGCAGACTTCCATGGCCGTGTGTAAGCTCCAGGCCCAAGCCCGGTGGGCTGTCACTGGAACACCGATTCAGAACAACTTGTTGGACATGTATTCACTGTTGAAGTGAGTAAACTCTTTAAGATTAGGTAGATGTGAGCCCTGTCGGTAACCCTTCTTGATTATTTCATATCTCCAGTATCGCCTGTTTGTACGCCAGATTAGCATGTGTAGCAGGTGGCAAACCTGTCAACATTTAAGGGACAGGAAAATTAATATTTATGAGAATATAATCTGTTGATTGACTGGCTGATACAGGACTTCCATGACATGCAGTTCTTCTATGTGGAAAAATACAGAACCAGTTAAAGGAAACAAAAATCACTTTTTTAAGTCCTAGGAATGTTTTGAGCTACTTTTGCTTTAGAACACATGGCCTGAGGTCAGGGCTACAGTTGATTTGAAGCAAACAGAAAAGAATGCTGATTTTTAAATACCTGCTTTTATTTAAGTCAGCTCCTAAGAGGATATAGAAGTTCTCTCTTAGCCTTCGAACCTTTAGGAATGAATTCTAGCTGTTGGTTATATGTCCTGTTGTGGTGACACAGACATTTGAATGGGAAAAGGCACATTTGTATGATGTGGTTTATGACGTGGTTGTCGACTTGGACCCTTTTGCTCTGTCTGGCAGAGCTTTGCTGTGAAATTGACTTTTCGCGTTGGTTGGGATGACCTGTGAAACCTGGTATGCTTTTCCTCTTACGTCTGTCTCTGACTCTCTCCTCCATCCTCCCCTGCTTCTTTCCTGTTCTCTGTCCTCTGATGAAAAAGATTTCTCCGTTGTTCTCCATTTGATGAGTTTAAGCTGTGGAAGAGTCAAGTAGACAATGGCTCAAAGAAAGGAGGAGAACGGTTAAATATCTTAACCAGGACCCTTTTGCTGAGGAGAACAAAGGACCAGCTGGACTCCGCCGGCAAGCCCTTGGTAATCCCACTGACACTTGTCGCTGGGTGGATGTGGGGGGTCAGGAAGGAGGGTGACCGTGTTCTTGACTCGGCTTGCACTGCCATAGCCTTTGCTTCAGGAGCCCCTGGGTCTCCCATGCTCCTACACAGAGGCCCTTGGGTTGCTGTCCTGCCCCCGGGATCATAGCTGTCCTGTTTTGTGGTGTGTTACAGCCATTCTGCTCTCAGGGGAGGGTGGGAGCTGCCGTCCAAGGCTTGACTAGATTTCCAGTGTCAACTCTGGGGAACGTGCTCCGTAATATGCAGTTAATTGTAGAACTTCATTGTGGCTTCTTTTGTCTTTCACTCTTCCAGGTGGTGCTGCCCCAGCGTAAATTTCAGTTGCACCATTTAAAACTCTCTGAAGACGAAGAGACTGTCTATAGTGTCCTTTTTGCAAGATCGAGGTATGTGCAGTGAAGAAGCACCTTCTCACAGCTGTTGTTTTATTCTTGTTCTTGCTTGGGATTGAGTCAAGGTTCCTCTAACTGCAGTTACAGTACTATTGACAAGTTGAATATCAGTGGTCCTTTTTACAAAAGCTCCCTTGTTCTCTCACCTCGCCCCCAACTCACCTTTGCCTCATATACACAGCGAGCCTGTTCACTGGCTTTCTTGCATGGAAGGTCTAGGCTGTGCACACTGTCACCAGGTCTTCCTGGTCGCTGTGGGGCTGTATTAGGAAAGTATTGGCCAACCTAGTACATCTCTTTGACCTTTGACCTGTTGTCCAGCCTCTCACCAGAACTTTTAAGAAGCTATTCATCAAACCTTCCAAAGTGATTAAGTTTTTTCCTCTTTGTAGATCTTATATTTATTAATAAACATTTTAATATTAATCTTAACTAATTAATAATATATTACTGTTACATATTTAATATTAAACTGATATAGAATGTAATACTAATATTTTATAGTATAAATAAGTTTGTTAATATTTATTAATCATTTTTAAGTGGTTTAGCTTTTAATTATCTTTATTACGTTTGGTCAGTGCTTGCTGTGAGCCTGCCTTCATTTAACAAGTCCACTTTTCCACTTTTTAAAAAATTAATTTATTTATTTTTGGCTGTGGTGGGTCTTTGTTGTTGAACGTAGACTTTCTCTAGTTGGAGCAGGCAGGAGCTGCTCTTACGGATGGTGCACTGGCTTCTCATTTCGGGGGCGTCTCTTGTTGCAGAGCATAGGCTCACGGGCTAAAGCATGCAGGCTCAGTAGCTGTGACACACAGGCTTAGTGGCCCCCCTGCATGTGGGATCTTCCCAGAGCAGGGATTGAACCCATGTCCCCTACATTGGCAGGTGGATCCTTAACGACTGGACCACCAGGGAGACAGGTGGTGCTGCCCCAGCGTAAATTTCAGTTGCACCATTTAAAACTCTCTGAAGACGAAGAGACTGTCTATAGTGTCCTTTTTGCAAGATCGAGGTATGTGCAGTGAAGAAGCACCTTCTCACAGCTGTTGTTTTATTCTTGTTCTTGCTTGGGATTGAGTCAAGGTTCCTCTAACTGCAGTTACAGTACTATTGACAAGTTGAATATCAGTGGTCCTTTTTACAAAAGCTCCCTTGTTCTCTCACCTCGCCCCCAACTCACCTTTGCCTCATATACACAGCGAGCCTGTTCACTGGCTTTCTTGCATGGAAGGTCTAGGCTGTGCACACTGTCACCAGGTCTTCCTGGTCGCTGTGGGGCTGTATTAGGAAAGTATTGGCCAACCTAGTACATCTCTTTGACCTTTGACCTGTTGTCCAGCCTCTCACCAGAACTTTTAAGAAGCTATTCATCAAACCTTCCAAAGTGATTAAGTTTTTTCCTCTTTGTAGATCTTATATTTATTAATAAACATTTTAATATTAATCTTAACTAATTAATAATATATTACTGTTACATATTTAATATTAAACTGATATAGAATGTAATACTAATATTTTATAGTATAAATAAGTTTGTTAATATTTATTAATCATTTTTAAGTGGTTTAGCTTTTAATTATCTTTATTACGTTTGGTCAGTGCTTGCTGTGAGCCTGCCTTCATTTAACAAGTCCACTTTTCCACTTTTTAAAAAATTAATTTATTTATTTTTGGCTGTGTTGGGTCTTTGTTGTTGAACGTAGGCTTTCTCTAGTTGGAGCAGGCAGGAGCTGCTCTTCCTGATGGTTCGCTGGCTTCTCATTTCGGGGGCGTCTCTTGTTGCAGAGCATAGGCTCACGGGCTAAAGCATGCAGGCTCAGTAGCTGTGACACACAGGCTTAGTGGCCCCCCTGCATGTGGGATCTTCCCAGAGCAGGGATTGAACCCATGTCCCCTACATTGGCAGGTGGATCCTTAACGACTGGACCACCAGGGAGGTCCAAGAAGTCCACTTTTATAATTCTTCAGGGTCCTACCACGATCACAGCTAAGCAGTGACCCTGGTAAACCTGTTTGGTCTTAGTGACCACTCTATGTGCATTTTGTTTCTTGATCTGAGGCAGGTTGGCTCTGCAGTACTATCTAAAAAGACATGAAAGTGGGAGCAACCAATCTGGAAGAAGCCCTGACAATCCATTCAATAGAGGTGAGCAGTGGGACACTTGTAAATACAGAGACTTATGAAAATGTGGGTGCAGATTTGGTAAACTTACAGAAATGGCGGTCGTGAATTCTTGATAACAGAGACTTGACCTTAGCTTGGAACCTCAAACTAAAGTAAAATATAATCTGCAAGCACCAGACCTGGTGATGTAAACTTGTTTTTAGTTATTTCTGAAATCTGTTTTATTAAAATGTAAATACAGTAGGTCTGTAGAGAAAATGAGTATTTCGTTTTTCTTCATTAGCAGAGAAGTGAGTTAGAACTGTGTTATTGAAGCTCAGATCAAAGCAGGTTTCAAATCTCTTCAGTTACTTCACGGGTCTTCCCCATGTTTCTGTTTTAAACACTGTGCTCTTTCCCGTGTCTGTTTTCCTTCTTGGAAGTGGCCCAGGAGTTTGGATCCCACGGGCCTGGGCCCTCCTCGGCAGCCAGCTGGGCGACCTCCAGCACCGTCCACATCCTGTCACAGCTGCTGCGGCTCCGCCAATGCTGCTGCCACCTCTCTCTGCTGAAGTCGGTGAGCAGAGCGCCTGTGTGGGCCCAGGGGGCCGAGGAGGGGTCCCCTCAGTGTCCTGTGCCTGGGCTCTGGTCTGCCGGGTCAAGCAAGATGGGATTCGAGGGTGTTTTGCTTTTCGGTGGGGCAGCAAAGATGGGACTGCGTATTTTACAATATTTTAATCATTAGTGATCTTGAGATAATTCCCATGATGTTGAGGACAGCTTTTAATATTTATTTTGTTTTTAAAAAAAGCTTTATTTTAGAATAGAAAATAGTACTACCTCATTAAAAAGGAAACCATTTGTGAATACTTTGGTATTTTAGGGTGTCGTAAAGCTAATAAGTCTAGTTATGAAAACTCAAGTATTTATACAATTGGAAAAGTTGTCTCTACAATGGGTAGAGACACATTCATAATTAAGAAGAATGTTACAGGCAGAACACTCAGACATAAATTTCAGCAATATGTTTTTGAATTTGTTCTCTAGAGTAATGGAAATAAGAGCAAAAATAAACAAATGGGACCTGATTAAACTTAAAAGGTTTTGCAAAGCAAAAGAAACCATAAACCAAATGAAAAGACAACCTATGGATTGGGAGAAAATATTTGCAAACAGTGCCACTGACCAGGGATTAATTTCCAAAATACACAAACAACTCATACAGCTAATATCAAAAAGCCAAACAACCCAATCAAAAAATGGGCAGAAGATTCACATAGACATTTCTTCAAAGAAGACATACAGATTAGCAACAGAGACATTGAAAGATGCTCAGTATTGCTAATTATTTGAGAAATGCAAATCAAAACCACAGTGAGGCACCACCTTACATTGATCAGAATGGCTATCATTAAAAAATCTACAAATAATGCTGGAGATGGTGTGGAGAGAAAGGAACCATTCTGCCCTGTTGGTGAGAATGTAAGTGGGTGCGGCCACTATGGAAAATAGCATGGAGGTTCCTTAAAAAGCTAAAAATAGAGTTACCACACCATCCAGCAATTGCACTCCTGGGCACATGCCAGAGAAAACTATTTCAAAAAGGTTCATGCACCCCAGTGTTCATAGCAACACTATTTACAGTAGCCAAGATATAGAGGCAACCTAAATGTCCATCAGCAGAATAATGGATAAAAAAGATGTGATATGTATACATATATATATATATATATGCACACATATGCATGCATACATACATACATACAGTGAAATATTAGTCGGAAAAAAGAATGAAATAATGCCATTCGCAGCAACATGGTTGGACCTAGAGAGTTCATATTAAGTAAGAGAAAGACAACTGCAATCCAGAACAGATGATATGGATGAACTTATTTACAAAACAGAAATAGTCTCAGACATAGAAAACAAGCAGTGTCACCAAAGGGGATGGCAGAGGGCTGGCTGGGGGAGGAGTAAATCAGGAGTCTGGGGCAACATATACGCTCTGCTATATATTGAAGAGGTAACAGCAAGGACCTACTGTATAGCACAGGGAACTAAACTCAGTATCCTGTAGTGTCCTATAATGGAAAAGAACCTGAAAAGGAATATATATGGATATAAAACTGAAGCACTTTGCTGTATGCTCAAAACTAACAGAACTTTGTAAATTAACTATACTTCAATGAAAAAAAGAAATGTGTTACTTTTTTTTTCTCCTTGGCAGTTAGAATATTTTCTCCTTGGTTATCAATGATTCTTTTCTTTATACTCTTCTGAACTTTTCCAGGTTTTCTGTAATAAGCACATGTCATTTTTATGAACAGAAAAGAAACTACTTAGTACTTGAAAATTTTTTTATTTAAAAAGTTTTTATTGAAATGTATTATTTTTTTGAGGCATTGAAGTAATGTGTCTTTTTTTTTTTTGGTAGTACTGTAAATTATGTCTTGATTATCAATAGCTTAATTAACTCTATTGTTCCAGCTGGGGCAAATAGAATAATCTTGTAGTCTATCTGGCAATTTTCTAAAAAGTTCCACTTTGGTTTATTTTTGATCTGGTGAGAAAAACTCGTAAGACTTCATTTTAATCTGGGTTTACTCAAGGGGGTACTGATGGTAAATTACAAAACATTTTGCCACGTGCAGTGTTAAACAGTCAGCACTTTGGCAAGTCCAGTGGCTTGCTGCCTCAGCCGCCCATTTGCTGTGTCCCCTGTCTGATTCCGGTCAGGCCCTGGATCCGACGGAGCTGAAGAGTGAAGGTCTGGCCCTCTCCCTGGAGGAGCAGCTCAGTGCCTTGACCTTGTCCGAATTTCACGACTCAGAGCCGTCTGCCTCCGTTTCCCTTAATGGCAAATGCTTCAAGGTGGAGCTTTTTGATGACAAGAGAGAGAGCACCAAGGTAGTATGATCATCTCCATTCTAGTAGAAAGACTTCAACTCCTCACATATTTCCTTGAGAGCGCCATGTTTGTCCAAGTGGGTCCAGCTGTTTGATGGCAGAGCTGGAGCTACTAGATGTTAGCTGGTCAGATTCTCCCTCTAGTTCTGGTTTCATTTCACGAATAGAACTGAAGTGGGCTTTCAGAGAGTGGCTTGGGCCCACTTCTCATATCAAGGCAGATTTCTGGCATGGATTCCTGGGGAAAGAGTCTGTCAGGTTTACACTGGGGACAGGGCCTGGGCAAGTGAGCAGTTTGTTTTGGGAAAGCCACAAACACCTGGGCCTTAAGACAATGTCTTAACGTCTGAGCACCAATTGCTTTCCTTTGTTGAGAAGCTTCAATCTGCCAGGTTTGATTGTTACCAGCCTTCTGTCCTCATTAGTCACTCTATTCCCACGGAAGCTGGAGAAGGGAATGGCAAACCACTTCAGTATTCTTGCCTTGAGAACCCCATGAACAGTATGAAAAGGCTAAAAGATAGGACACTGAAATGCTTTTGAACTGTGGTGTTGGAGAAAACTCTTGAGATTCCCTTGGACTGCAAGGAGATCCAACCAGTCCATCTTAAAGGAAATTAGTCCTGAATATTCATCAGAAGGACTGATGTTGAAGCTAAAACTCCAATACTTTGACCACCTAATGCGAAGAGCTGACTCATTTGAAAAGACCCTGATGCTGGGAATGATTGAAGGTGGGAGGAGAAGGGGATGACAGAGGATGAGATGGTTGGATGGCATTACCAACTCAATGGACTTGAGTTTGAGTAAACTCAGAGAGTTGGTGATAGACAAGGAGGCCTGGTGTGCTGCAGTCCATGGGGTCGCAAAGAGTCAGTCATAACTGAGCGACTGAACTGAACTCCTACGAGAGTGATTTAAGAACTGAAGGGTTCCATCAGAAGAAGCCTGGGGTGTGTGTGACTCAGGCCTGCCCCTCCACTGGCTCACTTGGAACCTGCCTGTTGTCTTGCCTGCCCTGCATGGCTGGTTTCTCTCTCTGCTGCTTTCTGAGGCTTCCTCAGATTTTTTTCAAAGTTTTTAAAATATGTAACTAGGAAGGAGGTCACTGCCAAGGGAATGGTGTTACCTAACAGTTACTTTTAATTAGAGTTCTAAAAATATTTACATAGGTCTTCACCATCAGTAACTGGTGGGAACATGCAAAGGGCACCCTGTGTGGCCAGGTTTCAGGCCCTGGCAACCCTCAGTTAGCAGATGGGTTGAAACCTCACATTCCTAATAATTTGTGTTCCTCACAACTTGTCTGATACTCAGTTAATGATTCATAAGCCTTCTTAATGTGAGCCCATTAATCATAGTTCAAACCTCTTAAGGTGGTTTCACGTTAAGGAAGGGAGTTTGTTTGATAGCACACACCTAAACTCATACAGAATGTTATTAGAATTAGTCTACAGCTCATAGACCATAAATCCTTCTCTCCCACTGCATTTTTTTTTTCTTCAAAATACCTATGGCTAGGTTTTTCACGTGGCAATTCAAGAACTTTCTATAACCTCAAGTTGTCAGAACAACAGGCACTTCATGTATGTGCTTTTTAAATTCCTACTGATTCAAAATGGTACAGTCCTGTGACCATCTTCCTGCCCAGTCATGGGAGTGTTTGTTCAGATTGGAATGCAGCCTCATGTGGGAGCCTCTACAGGTTATCACTAAAGTCATAACAGCATAGAGGGGAAGAGCTAAGCGCATCTCCATTGCTCTGTCTCAGCTCCTTTCACCCATGAGGAAGCTGAACTCTCTACTAGGAGTTTCAGAGTGAGCTCGCCCCGTGATGGCAAAGTAGGAACTCTTCATCTCCTGGTTCCTAGTCCAATGCTCTTCCTCCTCTACCACTCTGGAGATGAGCTCTAGGCCTCTTAGAACCTTTAGAAAGGTCACTCACCTTAGCAGTCAGGAAGAATGAACTCAGTCACTCTTTGAAGTCCTGCCCATGTGTTCTTACTGTCTGGTCCTTCATTGACTTGATTGTGCCCTGAGCAGTTTGGATACATAGCCAGGGAGCTTGTCGCAAAGCTTGAGCAAGTGTTCCTCAGTCTGGAAAGGTTCTCTGCTTCAACACCATTTGCAGCAGGCCTCAGACCGGGTCAGGCTCTTTTACTTTCGCCTTCTGCAAACATTAGGCTAGTATCTTCTGTGGTCCTGCAGCGTGCTGGGGGACCGTGCTGAGGGTGCCAATGAACCGGACACATGCCAGCTCTGCCTCCTGGAGCATCTCTGGCCTTGAAATCAAGAGATAACTAATAAGCAATTATTATATAATTTTTGAAAAGACCATGATAATAGAAAGAAAAGGTGTATAGTACCACATAGTGGGCACCTTGGATTGGGGAGGACCTCCAAGAAATGACATTAAGTTGGCACCTAAGGCTGTTCTAAGCAGAGGGAATGGAATGGACAGAGATGAGACAAAGCACCGCTCAGTGGAGGGAGAATGTTGGTTTCACCCAAGCATCATTTGGGTGTAGTGAGGGATACGGCTGGAGATATGAGAGGCAGTGAGAATCTGGGAGGTCACTGTAAGGAGCTTGGGCTTTATTCTCTATGGGAGGCCACTGGAGGGTCTTCAGCCAGCGAAAGCAAATAAGAAACTGGCAGTTTGGAAATAGTCCTCTGGCTGCAGAGAGGAGAGGGAACCAGAGAGGAGAGGGAACCAGAGAGGAGAGGGAACCAGAGGAGCAACACCTAAAGCCGAAAGGCCCTGGGGGAGACTGATTCAGGCCAGAGAAAAGGGAGAAGAGCAAATTTGCTTAAACCTACTTATGTCAATTCAACCTTTTCCCAGATTTCATCCCTGTTGGCAGAATTGGAGGCAGTCCGAAGAAATTCAGGGTCCCAAAAGAGGTAAATGTGTTATTTCATTATCCAAGTGTTGCTTGTAATTATGCAAGAAAATTGGATATTGTGGATGGTTATAAATCTTAGCTTTTTATATCAAGGACCTTGAGTCGCACTCAGCAGAAAGTACTGAGGTTACGGCACAAACTTCCTATGATTTCTAATTAAAATATTTCTGACACTGGTTGCAAAGGCAATCCCTGGAGGATCTAAGTAAGCTGAGCATCTGAAGAAACGTTTAAGAGCAGAGAAGAAGCATCTTAAACAAAGCCAGAGAATAACAGAGGGAAATGGAGGGAGAGGGCTGTGGTCAGACCGGGAGCCCCCGCAGTGCTGGACATGTTCCTGAGCTAGGGGCGGGGGATGCAGGAGGTTCAGTCTTTGTTTGTTTTACTTTACTCTGTGTTACTCACTGCATTTGTAGATCAGAAAGATTTTGATCTAAAACTCTAATTAAAGCACAGCATGGAGGGAACTGAGAAACCCTAGAGGCTTATGGTTCTGACTGGCAAGGGGAAGGGCCTGTCCTCCTTTTCTGCAGGAGGACAGACCTCTAGATGAGAACTAGGTCCCCAGATAATCGGACGCTGCAGCCGTCAATTTAGTTTCACCACCACTTTGTTCTGACTTCATTTCGCACAAGATAAGTAGCAGACTGGATATGGAAATAACTGGAAGCATTATAATCTTATGTCACCTAAGTGTGTACCCTTAGGTATCAGAAGGCTTTCCTTCTTCCACATTTGAAAACTGAATCATATGGATAGCAGGTGTTAAAGCCCTGCAGATGAGTTTATTTCATGAGTTTATTTCTGTTTTCTCCTTTCTTCCAGTGTCATTGTCTCTCAGTGGACCAGCATGCTGAAGGTTATAGCCTTGCATCTTAAGAGATGTGGATTTACTTATGCCACCATCGATGGCTCTGTCAACCCCAAGCAGAGAATGGACTTGGTAGAGGCATTTAACAGCCCCAGGGGCCCTCAGGTACGAGCTGATCATAGCTGAGTTCTGTAATTAAGAGCAGATTGTTCCCGATTACACAGACAATTTCAACATAGCTCAATTGAAAAATATTCGTAGCTTTGATCCCTCCAGATATTTTTGATTCCTTTGACATTTATCAGGGGTACGTATCAAAGTGTGAAAATACTCTAAGAGAATAAAATATAAAGGTTAAAAAGAGTAAGGACAGAACTGGTTAGGATCAAGAAACTCTTTGTGGAAAAGGCAAGCCTGGAAGGATGGGTGGGATCTTGATATGAGGAAAGATGGAGGGAAGTGGGAGAACAGTCAATTCAGTTCAGTCGCTCAGTCATGTCCGACTCTTTGCGACCCCACGGACTGTAGCACGCCAGACCTCCNGCCAATTTTTTCACTGTCCTCTCAGAGACATCTAATTATGGATAATGGGAATTTAGGGCTTTGCTCGTAGCTCAGTGGTAAAGAATCTGCCTGCCAAGGGGGAGAGTTGGGGTCGATCCCTGGGTTGGAAAGATCCCTTGGAGAAGGGAATGGCTACCCACTCCAGTATTCTTGCCTGGGACATCCCATGGACAGAGGAGCCTGGTGGGCTACAGTCCACGGGGGTCACAAAGTGTCAGACACGACTGAGCAACCAAACAACAGTTGAGTGACAGGCAGGAGAGTCATGGCAGTGGTGGGGACTGGTGGAATAGACAGTATCTGGTTGATGGAAAGTGTATTGAGCTGACCAGCCCCAGTACTCTAAATGATAGTATTCATATATTTGGCAAGCACACAATTAATGTCTTGAGATTGACTCACCAAAAAAAGGTTAAATGAGAATCTTCTCCAAGGTGAGGCAGGGGAAATAGCATCTCAAAGTTTCAAAACAATGCCTTTATGACTGCAGAAGGAAATTTGATAAGAACATCTTGCTTATTTGTATTGATCTTGGTATTGAACCTGTGACAGGAGGAGAGATGGTTTATGAGACCGAATCTGTGTAAAGTGAATGGTGTGCTTCCTTTTGAAGGTTATGCTAATTTCTCTCTTGGCTGGAGGTGTCGGTCTAAACCTGACTGGAGGAAATCATCTTTTTCTTCTGGACATGCACTGGTAACAATTATGGATTTTTCTTGAGTTGTCCCTGCATTGCAGGGAGACCAGAGGGGCAGTAAAACCTGACTACTTATAATGAGTGTGTTCCCTTCGTATTGTGGAGCTGCCTCTGTGCATACATCTGTATAGATACAGATCAAAATGGTGTAGACTGAGTTGATGGCCCTGTATTCCTGAGCAAGGAAGGATTCAAATGACTATTTAAAATAGTCTGTTCACTTTATTGTTAACCTAATGTCTGTTTCCATGGAAACTGGGAATAGGGCTTTTTCTCATGGCTAAGAGCTACTTTACTCAGCAAAGAGTTTTATCTCTTCAAAACACCGTATTTCAGACATACTTATTGACGTCCAAGGAAATCTCAACATTGGCAAAGAAGGAGAACCATTACTCCTAAAGGGAAAGGGAAAGAAATTTTCTAACTATGTTAGATACACACTTAAGGCACAGCCTTGGGCTCACTGCTCATAGTGTCAACACCAGGAGCATAGCAGCGTCCTTCCTAGATACGAAGCAAATGATTCACGCGTTGCTAGGAGAAAGTATCATAATCTGTCCCAGTTTTGATTTTTCAGTGATGCCAGTTAGGGATTGCCACACCAGGCACCGTTGCCAGGGATTGTCGTTTGTTCTCCAGGCAGCCCAGATGGGCACAGACAGGCCCACCTGTTGTTATCTTCCTGGAGAATGTGGTTAGGTCTTACTTTGGGACCCTTCCCACCCCCATACGTGAGGAAAGCAGAATTGGAATCATGCTGGCTTCTGAATTGGAGAAATGTTATTCAGGATTTTAAAGAGGTAAGATGAGAAACTAGTTTGGAGTTGAAAAGGAGAATCTAGAAAGAAGGAAACAAATTCAGTCTCCTTATTTGAGTCATAGAAAGTTAAAAGTTGAAAACGGCATTAGAGGGGACTTTCCTCATGGTCCAGTAGTTAAAAAGACTTTGTCTTCCATTGCAGGGGGTGTGGGTTCAATCCTGGTTGGGGAGCTAAGATCCCATAAGCCTTGCGGCTGAAAAACCAAAACATAAGGCAAACAGTATTGTAGTAAGTTCAATATAGACTTTAAAACTGGTCCACATTAAAAAAAAAAAAAATCTTAAGATAAAGGCATTAATGATCATTTGCCAGCCCTCCCATTCCCAAGCCTTTTAGGTTATGGTTAGATAACTTGCCTAGAGTCATCCAGCTAGTTAATGATTGGATTTGAGCATCACTTTAACCTCTGTTACCTATAGTTTCAACTGATGGTGGTGCTAAGAGTTGCTATTGGAGGCAAATCTGAGCCCAGTTTCTCATGAGGGGGCAGGAAGACATCTGGGAGCCTCCAAGCCCCACATAGACTAGAACAGAGATCTGCCAACTTTTTCTATAAATATTTCAGGCTTTGCAGATACATGGGTCTCTGTCATGTATTCTTTCTTTGTGGATTTTTGGTTTTGGTTTTGATTTTTTTTTTTTTTAACAAATCTTTAAAAATGTAACAACTATTTCAAACTCAAGAGCCATACAGAGACAGACTGCAGGCTGGATTTGACCTGTGGGATTTGCCCGCCCCTTGTCGAGGATGTCAGTGCCCCTGAGCCCAACCTGTCTTCTCACAGGAATCCATCGCTTGAAGATCAAGCTTGTGACCGAATCTACCGAGTAGGGCAGCAGAAAGATGTCATCATACACAAGTAAGTATATAAAGGTCTCCTGGGGCCAAGATCTGCTCCCGTGAAAATCTTTCTTGGGTAGTATTTTAACAGAATGTAAAGTATTTGGTGGTCGCTGTACTGATGGTGTTTGTGGGGCTCATCCTCCTTGGCACTCACGGTCAGGAAGGGAACACAAGCAATTTGGGGGTAACCTTGGAGCTGGTCCCTGCAGAAGAAAACTTAAGTACAGTGATGAGCCTTATCTCAGTCAAGGCTGCCCATGAAAGCACCCTCCTCTCTCTCTCTCTCAAAGGAAACAAATTCAGTCTCCTTATTTGAGTCATAGAAAGTTAAAAGTTGAAAACGGCATTAGAGGGGACTTTCCTCATGGTCCAGTAGTTAAAAAGACTTTGTCTTCCATTGCAGGGGGTGTGGGTTCAATCCTGGTTGGGGAGCTAAGATCCCATAAGCCTTGCGGCTGAAAAACCAAAACATAAGGCAAACAGTATTGTAGTAAGTTCAATATAGACTTTAAAACTGGTCCACATTAAAAAAAAAAAAAATCTTAAGATAAAGGCATTAATGATCATTTGCCAGCCCTCCCATTCCCAAGCCTTTTAGGTTATGGTTAGATAACTTGCCTAGAGTCATCCAGCTAGTTAATGATTGGATTTGAGCATCACTTTAACCTCTGTTACCTATAGTTTCAACTGATGGTGGTGCTAAGAGTTGCTATTGGAGGCAAATCTGAGCCCAGTTTCTCATGAGGGGGCAGGAAGACATCTGGGAGCCTCCAAGCCCCACATAGACTAGAACAGAGATCTGCCAACTTTTTCTATAAATATTTCAGGCTTTGCAGATACATGGGTCTCTGTCATGTATTCTTTCTTTGTGGATTTTTGGTTTTGGTTTTGATTTTTTTTTTTTTTAACAAATCTTTAAAAATGTAACAACTATTTCAAACTCAAGAGCCATACAGAGACAGACTGCAGGCTGGATTTGACCTGTGGGATTTGCCCGCCCCTTGTCGAGGATGTCAGTGCCCCTGAGCCCAACCTGTCTTCTCACAGGAATCCATCGCTTGAAGATCAAGCTTGTGACCGAATCTACCGAGTAGGGCAGCAGAAAGATGTCATCATACACAAGTAAGTATATAAAGGTCTCCTGGGGCCAAGATCTGCTCCCGTGAAAATCTTTCTTGGGTAGTATTTTAACAGAATGTAAAGTATTTGGTGGTCGCTGTACTGATGGTGTTTGTGGGGCTCATCCTCCTTGGCACTCACGGTCAGGAAGGGAACACAAGCAATTTGGGGGTAACCTTGGAGCTGGTCCCTGCAGAAGAAAACTTAAGTACAGTGATGAGCCTTATCTCAGTCAAGGCTGCCCATGAAAGCACCCTCCTCTCTCTCTCTCTCCTTCTCTTTCTCTTTCTCTCTTTCACTTTTATTTTGATAACTCCAGACATAGAAAAGAATGTAAGAATTCTTACAAAAATACCCCAGAGTTCTCGATTGTAAGAATAATACCAAAAAATTCCTGACTGCTGTGACATTTGTGTGTGTGTATATGTGTATGAGCTTTTTTCTGGACCATTTGACAGTAAGTTGCAGACATGATGTTCCTTTACCTCTAAATACTAAAATAGGCACTTTCTAAAAACGACATCTCTTACATAATCACAATAAAGTTATCAAAACCAGGATGTTAACAATGATACAATACTATTATCTGATCTATGGACCTTATTCAATTTTGCCACTTGTTCCAGTGATGTCCTTCCCAGCAAAAGGTCCTGCATAGCATTCAGTTCTCCTGACTCTCTTATCCCCTTTAATCTGGAACAACACTTCAGTCTTTGTGTTTTATGACAGTGACATTTTTAAAGTGTATGGGGCAGTTATTTTGTAGAATGTCCCTTTATGTGAGACCCTCCTCTTTTTAAAAACAATAATAGAACCTGCCTTAACTGCTGGAGTCCAGCCCCAGCGGGTCTAGGAGTACCCAAGGGATGAGTGGCGTCGGCGAGGAAGGAGACAGACACGCAAGGAAGGTTGCGTGGAAGAAAAAACTTTTTTATTTTTAGGACAGCTCAGTTTTTATAGAATGAACATTACCTCCCCCTTAAGTCACCACATATTACATCAGATGTTGGTTTCATGCTTCTGTCCATATTTTCCTTCCCCATGTTTTCCCCCTGTGCATTCATCTGGAACATTTCCAACTACAGGGTTTTTTTTCTTGAATGTCCCGTACATTAGTCTTCTTGCCTCAATGGCCTAACATTTTCATTCTAACAAAAGCAATGTTCCACAAATTTCAGGTATAGTATGAATTCTTTGGACAATAAAACAATACATGGGAAGGGCTACACAAACATGTTTAACATTTCTGAAAATAGTACCATGTGAAAACCTTGATATTTTTCTTTACCTGAAACCACAAAACCTCAGTCTACAATGATTAACTACGAAGCAGCAAAGCACCTCTATTAATAGTGAGGTGATGGCAGTGAAGCTGGTTAATATAAATCTTCTATTGAAATCCTATGTACCACATTTCCTAACTCTACAAAAATACCCATAATATTCCATGTTGTTGAAAGGAAGGGAAACAATGGACAAATAGCAGCAAGGAAATAGNTTTTCTTTTTTATTGAAAGATGGTTGATTTAGAATATTATATTGCTTTTAGGAGTGCAACATAGTGCTTCAGTATTTCTATAGATTATGCTCCATATACTCCATTTAAGATTATTACAGAATAATGACTCTGTGTCCCTGTGCTGGTACAATATATCCTTGTATATCCTTGTTGCTTTTACATTTAATTAATTTTGAAATTGAAGCATTATTGATTTGCAGTGTTTCTGGTATATAGCAAAGTGATTCAGTTAGACATATATCTATGTGTGTGTGTGTGTGTGTGTGTATGTTCTTTTCCCCATTCTATTCCATTTATAGTTTCTTACAAGATATTGAAAATAGTTCCCTGTCCTATATAATAGGACCTTGTTGTCTATTTACTTTATACAAAGTAGTTTGCATCTGCCAATCCCAAACTATTAATTTATCTCCCCTGCTTCCTCTTGGTAACCTTAAGTTTGTTTTCTATGTCTGTGAATCTGTTTCATAAATAAATTAATTTGTACTGTTTTTTAGATTCCACATGTAAGTGATATCATAGGGTATTTGTCTGACTTCACTTAGTATAATCTCTAGGTCTATCCATGTTGTTGCAGATGGCATTGTTTCATTTTTAATTGCTGAGTACTATTACATTGTATAATGTACCACCACTTTATCCCTCATCTGTTGATGGACATTTAGCTTGCTTTCATTTCTTGGCTATTATAAATAGTTTCAGCATCCATTAACATATACAGACTATTATAACAGGACCTACTGTATAGCGCATGGAACTGTATTCAGTATTTTGTAATAACCTGTGCTGGAAAAGGGGGCTTCCCTGGTGGTTCAGACGATAAAGAATCTGCCTGCAATGCAGGAAATGTGAGTTTGGTCCCTGGGTTGGGAAGATCCCCTGCAGAAGGAAATGGCAACCCACTCCAGTATTCTTGCCTGGAGGATTCCATGGACAGGGAAGCCTGGCGGGCTACAGTCCATGGCATCACAAAGAGTTGGACAGTTTCTCTATTCCATTCATTCTGTTTTGTCTTTGTTGTTATTTTTAATTTTATTGACGTGCAGTTGATTTACAGTGTTTGTTAATTTCTGCTGTATAGCAAAAGTGGCAGTTACACATATATATATTCTATTTCATATATGGTTTATCACAGGACACTGAATATAGTTCCCTGTGCTATACAGTAGGACTTTGCTGTTTGTCCATCATGTAATAGTTTGCCTCTGCTAACGCCAGACTCCCAAGCCATCCCTCCTCCACCCCCAGCCTCCTTGGCAGCCACAAGTCTGTTCTCTATACCTGTGAGTCTGTTTCTGTTTCATAGATATGTTCATTTCTGTTGTATTCTAGGCTCCACATATAAGTGATATCATGTGGTGTATTTGTCTCTTCCTGGTTTGGTACGATAATCTCTAGATCCATTCATGTTGCTGCACGTGTTAGCCATGGTTTTATACATGTTCCCATTCCCTGGGCTGCCCTCCCCACTGTTCCATCTGGCGAACCCTTGCTCATCTTACAAGTCACATTAAGAGTTAACTTGTCAATGGGGTTGTCCCTGAATACCCCAGACAGATTTCCTTTCACTTGTCTTGTACAGTGGACATATTTCCATTAGAGCAGTTTCCGGGTCATATTGTTATTCTTGCTGTTTATTTTCATGTCTCTGTCTTGTGTTCTCTTTGACTGCACGAGCATGTTCATCTTTATGTTCCTATACCTAGCATAGTGCATGGCATATGGTGAATCTCCATCAGTAATTGCTCAATGAGTGAAGAAAGGACTGACAGTGGCATTTCCTCAACTGGTCAAAACTGTTTTCAGTGTGAATTAGCCATGAAATAAGACACTCTGTACTTTAACCAGTACACATATTCTTAACAGAAGCCTGATAGCCTTAGACCTTCTGACCTTCCCAAGATGGAGCTTTTTGTGTGAAAGCTGGACCTCTACAATTTTTATTTTTTGGGGTCCGCATATTCCCTAGTGGCTCAGTTGGTAAAGAATCCACCTGCAATGTGGGAAACCTGGGTTCAATCCCTGGGTTGGCAAGATCCTCTTGAGGAGGGCATGGCAACCCGCTCCAGTATTCTTGCCTGGAGAATCCTCAAGGATAGAGGAGCCTGTCAGGTTGCAGTTCACGGGGTCGGAAAATCGGACATGACTGAGTGACTAGGCACGTATCTCTTGTGATTCTGGTGTTTGTCAGTTATCTCAGCTTTGAAAAGAAATAATAAGTCAGTCTGAGTTCAGATCACTTTAAACAGATGTATATATTTAGTCTAAGTTATTTAGGTTTCCTAAACATAGAGTTATTAATCAAACCTAAGGAAAAATAAAGGAAGAAATCTCCTTTAAAAACTAAGCATACATAGAAGCTTGACTGTTTCTTTGGATATTCTGCTATGGGGTTTTGATTGTTTGCTTGTCTGTTTTTCAGATTTATTTGTGAGGGAACAGTGGAAGAGAAGATCTTACAACTGCAAGAAAAAAAGAAAGATTTAGCCAAACAGATTCTATCAGGATCTGGAGAATTTGTCACCAAGCTCTCCTTGGCTGACCTCAAAGTCCTTTTTGGCATCTAACTTCCTGTTTTTCGGGCTCAGAATAGTGCCACTGTTGGTTTGTACTAGGATCTGGAGGGAACGACTTAACCCTGGTCCTTTGAGCTCTCCTTGGCTTTCAGTTTCACCTTCAAGCCTGATGCCCTTCTCCAAGCGAGGATGAATTATCATGTTAACCAGCTAGGTAACCAGTCATGTTAACCAATCAGCGTATTAAATAAAACCAATAAAGTGCTTCAGATAAACAGCCCTGGGAGAGTTGGACCTAAGCCTCAGTAAAAACTCAGAAAGCCCTCTGCACCTTTTTCTTCTCAGCTGATGGGGACCCAGTGTTGCTGCCTTTTCTAACAGGCTCCCTCCCATCTCTTCAATTCCTGCCCACAAGCCTGCTCCTATAACCATCTCTTCTAGACCATTTTTCTAGATTCCACATATACGCATTAATATACAGTATTTGTTTTTCTTGTTTTGACTTACTTTACTTCGTTTGACAGTCTCTAGCCATCCACATCTCTACAGATTGAAAGGTTGTTGCTGAACAATAAGACACCGGGATTCTTGGCCTCCGCAGGAGACGAATTCAATCTGGGGCCAGAGACGAGGCTGGGTCGCTCAGAGCTTTTGTGTAATTTTAAGTTTTATTAAAGTACAAAGGAGATAGAGAAAGCTTCTGACATAGGCATCAGAAGGGGGCAGAAAGAGTGCCCCCCTGCTAGTCTTCAGCTGGATGTTCTATATGACTATAGAACATAGTCTGTTCTAACTAGCAGTCTGTTAATGAAAAGAAAGGAATGTCTTAAAACTCAGAATGGCAACAGGCCCCTTATCCATAAATTGCATTTTGTGATAATCTTGGCACCAGATGATTCATCCCATAAAACGATTGTCTTGAATCTTGTAGAAGGGCAGATTACCATACAAATAGTTTCGTTTACATAGAGTACGGGAACAATATCTGAGTATAACATACTGGTTTGTCAAGTAGGTTCTAAGCCATTTGGCTGAACCGACTTGAAGACAGAGTCTGGGGTAAATGCATAGCACATTAACATAGCTTAAGACAAACATTTCCATAAGAAAAATGTATTGGTTAACTCAAGGTTTGAGAATACTTTGCTTCAGGTGAAACCAGGTGTCATGGCAACAGTATTTTAAGAGAAACCTTCTTTTAAATTTGTATAGAGAAGGAAAAAAATATCACTAGTTTGTTTCCTCCCGCTTAAGAGAGAGAAAAATGTCTCGCACTTGCAGCTTATTTCCTCCCTTTGGAGACCCCTGGCCTTCCTCCCTGTTACCCTCTCAAGATGACTCAGTTTTATTCCTTTTTATGGCTAACATGCCACTGTATACATGCACCACATCATCTTTATCCATTCCTCTATTGATGGACGTTTGGGTTGCTTCCATGTCTTGGCTATGCTATTGTAAATAGCCAGAACATGGAAGCAATGAACATTGGTGTGCATGTATCTTTTTGAATTATGGTTTTCCCTGGGTATGTGGAAAATGGGATTGCTGGGTCATACAGTAGTTCTATCTTTAGTTTTTTAAGGTACCCCCATACTGTTCTCCATAGTGGCTGTCTCAATTTACATTCCCACCAACAGTGCAAGAGGGTCCCCTTTTCTCCACACCCACTCCAGCATTTACTGTTTGTAGATTTTTTAATGATGGCCACTCTGACAGGTGGGAGGTGATACCTCATTGTAGTTTCGATTTGCCTTTCTCTTATAATGAGCAGTGTTGAGCTTCTTTTCTTGTGTTGTTGGCCATCTCTATCTTCTTTGGAGAAATATCTATTTAGGTCTTCCACCCATTTTTTGATTGGGTTGGTTTTTTTTTTTTTTTTTTTGATGTTGAGCTGCATGAGCTGTTTGTGTATATTGGAGATTAATCCTTGGTCCGTCGCTTTGTTTGCAAATATTTTTCTGCCATTCTAGGGGTTGTCTTTTCATCTTGTTTATGGTTTCCTTTGCTGTGCAAAAGTTTTTAAATTTAATTAGATCCCAGTAGTTGATTTTTGTTTTTGTTTTCATTACTCTAGCAGGTGGGTCAAAAAAGATCCTGGTGCTTTTGTCAAAAGAGTATTCTGCCTATATTTTCCTCTAAGAGTTTTATAGTAGCGATCTCTGTATAGGCTGAGCAGAAGTGGGCTCCTACCTAATACATGGTTGGGTAGTATTTGTATTATTGTATCATTTAGAATTTGGTATCATTTATGTTATCATATCATTTTGTATTGTTATCATGTAGTATTTGTGTCATGTAGTTTAACATTTGTGTTTTTATAGGATTTGTAGTTTTACGCATTTGCAGTATAGAAACACTTAGTCTCATTGTTATATTCAGTATTACTGAATCATACAGTATTTTTATTATCATTGGCATAATCCACTAAATAAGTGTTTGACATGTAGCAGAGATAATGCTTTGTGTCCACTAACCCCCATGTCCCTTTTCCTCCCGACTACCAGAGACTACATTTCCTATTCTTCACTGCAGTTACATGGGTCCTATTACTCAGTTCTAAGTCAGTGTGAAGAAGGAATTCATGGGGCCTGGACTCCATCTCAGGCCTGTCTGTGCTGGTGCACGGCCACCTATCCAATGGACTCTGAACTCTGTGCTTAGCGCCTATGGGAATGACAATGGAAGGATAAGACCCCCTCTGGAGAATCTTGAAGATCACATCCAAGTTACTCATTGCCTAAGAGGAAACACACCCTAATCACCCCTGCCTCCAGACAGGTCATAAATTTTTTTCCATATCTATCGGGATGTAATCACAGGCTTATCGATTATTAACTGGTTGGAACATGACCACAGGCTTATTGATTATTAACTGTTTGGAATGTAACTGCGGGCTTATTGATTATTAGCTGTTTGAACACATAACACGTGAATGATGGGGTTATTGTAGTTGTATTTACCCTTCCTTTGTTTATGTAAGTCTCAAGGAAATTGGGGTGGTGGGTTTGGACACGTACACATGGGGTATAAAAGATTTTCACAAATGCTGGTCGGGGTCCTTGGCTAAGAGGAGACTCTGCCTTGGGCCCGCGGGTGTAATAAACTGCACTCCACTATCTGCATTGTCCTTCTTCTTTTTTTATTTTTTTTTAATTTTTTTTTTCCATTTATTTTTATTAGTTGGAGGCTAATTACTTTACAACATTGCAGTGGTTTTTGTCATACATTGACATGAATTAGCCATGGATTTACATGTATTCCCCATCCCGGTCCCCCCTCCCACCTCCCTCTCCACCCCCATTGTCCTTCTGAGTGAGTTTGTTTCCTGGAGAGCGTGGCTATCACAAGTGGAATGTGGAGAGAAGTGGTGTGTGAGTCATTTCTTACCTGCCCTTCTAAAACTTTGCGTACGATTCTTTGTGCTGTTTCTTTTCTTCTTGGCCTGCTGAATACAGAGGAACTGATGGACAGCTACAGGGCCCTAGAGAACTGTGGAGCCACTAGACCAGAGATTTTTAATCTGCTCTTGGCCGTGGACCGTTGGTAGACTGGTAAGCCTCAGTTCCTGAATGAGAGCAGAACAAAGCCTTCCAGTGCCTCCCTTCTCATTCCAGCTCACCCACATCAGACTATAAAAAAACAAAAAAAAAATTTTTTTTTAGCTATGAGATCTGGGGATTATTTATACAGCAGTTCGTATCCTAACTAATACAAACTGTTTGAGAATTTCCCTTTGGGGAACTATTCAGATTCCCTTCTTCCTGTTGGCAGTCATTTTCAAAACACTTACTCTGCAAATTTCTGCTGAAAAGAGTTGTATTGCTTCTTCGGTAGAATTGTTGCCCTCTTTTGAGTTAGGATTACATGACAAAGCCCTGTGTTAGGCCAGTCACAGTATGAACTGAGGCACTGGGGCCTTTTTAAGCAAAGGTGCACTCTAAGGACATAGACTAAAGGCTGCAAAGGTAGAGATAGATGGCCTGGAGGGAAGAGTTCTGACTTTACTTCCAGGTTCGCCTTAGCTGAGGGTGTAGCCTTGAAGAAATCATTCCCTTCTCTACACTTTGGTTTCTGTGACTGTGGTGGGCATTGTTTTTAGAGCTTCAGCAGCTATAGTGAGGTCCCTGCTAAAATCAGAAAATAGAAGATGTAAGATTACCCTCTGAGAGTTTGGGTGTAAGTTCCACACACCAGGTTAAAGGGAATGTCACCTGAGAAGCCCTGGCTCCCAGGCTGGTAAGAACATTTGCTGACTGTCTGGTATTTAGCTGGGTGCAGATTCCCCAGGCACCTCAGTTCTTTCAGTCTGTAAGGGGTGGTTTCAGTCTGTAAGATTGTGTCCTACCCTTTGAGACCCTATGGACTGTAGCCTGCCAGTCCCCTCTGTCCATGGGTTTCTCCAGGCAAGAATACTAGAGTGGGTTGCCATGCCCTCCTCTAGGAAATCTTGACCCAGGGATTGAATGCTCATTTCCTGTGTCTCCCGCATTGCAGGTGGATTCTTTACCACTGAACCACTGGGGAAGTGCTTGATTATTCATACATTAATTTTAAAACATATTAAATGTGCCAGGCACTTCTGAGCACTAAGTGAAAGTTGCTCAGCCATGTCCAACTCTGTGACCCCATGGACTATACAGTCCGTGGAATTCTCCAGGCCAGAATACTGCAGTGGGTAGCTGTTGTTCTCTGGGGGATCTTCCCAACCCAGGGATCGAACCCAGGTCTCCTGCATTGCAGGTGGATTCTACCAGCTAAACCACAAGGGAAGCCCAAGAATACTGAAGTGGGTAGCCCATCCCTTCTCCAGGGATCTTCCTGGATCAAGAATCGAACTGGGGTCTCCTGCATTGCAGTCAGGTTCTTTACCAGCTGAGCTACCAGGGAAGCCCTTATAAGGGTGAGCAAAACTGAAAACAATCTGTCCTGAGGCTTCCAGCCTTATTAGGGGAGATGGGCATTGATCAGATTATGTATGACTGTGAAGTGGCTGTGGCAATGAGTGCTACTGTCCAGAGGTCCACATATCTGGGAGGACTTAGAGCAGAGATTGAAGCTAGATAAGGAGGACTTCTTTGAGGAAGTGGTGAAGGAATTGAAATCAGAAGTTAATAAGGGGGTTCTCAGGTGGTACTAGTGGTAAAGAATCTGGCTGCCAATGTAGGAGATGCAAGAGATGCGGGTTTGATCCCTGGGTCGAGAAGATCCCCTGGAGGAGGGCATGGCAACCCACTCCAGTATTCTTACCTGGAGAATCCCATGGACAGAGTCTGGCAGGC